TCAGATATTTCTTGAAACCTGTCCCTGGAGATGTCCCCATTCATCACTCCATTTTACAGACGGGGAAACTGAGGCTTGGGCACGTGAAGTGAGTTGCACAAGGTTGCAATTAGTCAGGGCAGAAGGGGATTTGAACTCAGACATCTCTGACCCCTGAGCCACTTTACCAGCGGTTCTCAAACTTTAGTATGCACCAGAATCTCCCTAGGTTTTGTTAACCCCCAGCACCTCGGACTCAGTAGGACAGGGTGGGTCCTGAGAAGTCACATGTCTCATTCCCAGGTGACGCGCAGGGTGCAAGTTTGAGGATGCCCCTGAGAACCACGTGCTGTGTCCTGGGCAGTGCCACCTGCTGCTGACGCAGAGAACATGCTTAGGAACCAGGGACTCCACCACCCCTCCCTGCCATCTGCTGAACGAAGTCCCTCCAGACAGGCCATGTGACCTTGAGCCAGTGAGAGCTCCCCTATGCCTCAGTCTCCCTGTCTGTGAAAGTACCTACGTCGTCCAGCTTTACTGAGGATGAAATGAGAAAACTGGGGGCACATGCTTGGGGAGCAGTGCCAGGCTCACAGGGATGCCCACCCAGCAGGTGCCAGCCTGGAAATGAAGGAGGTGCTCTTGGACCGTGGAACATTCCGATACATCACCGCTGCTATGGCCAGGCCCTTGAGCAGAAGGACCCCACTTACAGTGCCCACTCTCACTGGCTGGTGTGGCTCAGTGGTTGATATTGACCTATGCACCAAGAGGTCACCGGTTCAAATCCTGGTCAGGGCTTATGCCCAGGTTGAGGGCTCAATCTCCAGTAGGGGGCATGCAGGAGGCAGCTGATTGGTATGTCTATCTCTCTATCCCTCTCCCTTCCACTCTCTCTAAAAATCAATAAAACATTTTAAAATATGTAAAAAGAAATTTTTTAAGTGCCCACTCTCCTTTGGAACCAGAAACAAAAGTATCCAGGCTTCCTGGTATTCCTCTCTCCAAGGTCACTGCCCATGGACCTCCCACCTAGCCTGCGTCTTCACTGCCGGGCAGGGAAGCACATTCCGTCCCCCACGCAGGAGGCTCAGCGGAGAAGTGACTTGCAGTGGGCTGAGTAGAGTTCCCCCCAAATTCAAAATTCAAGTCCATCCAGAACCTCAGAATGTGACCTTATTTGGAAATAAGGTCTTTACAGATGTAATTAGTTAAGGATCTTGTGATGAGATCATCTTGGATTTAATACTGGTTCTAAGTCTAAAGACTGACGCCTTCATCAGAGAAAGGACATAGAAACGCAGGGAGATGCTCATGTGAAGGCAAAGGCAGAGACTGGGGTGATGTGGCCACAAGCCAAGGGATGCCCACAGCCCCAGGAGCTGGAAGAGCAGGAAGGACCCTCCCCAAGTGCCTTCAGAGAATGCATGGCCCTGGGACACCTGGAGTTAGGGCTTGTAGCCCCCAGAACTGAGAGTGAATTCATTCCTGTTGTTTTAAGCCTCCCCCACCCCTATGTTACTGCAGGCCCGGGACACTAAGACACCGTCTAATAGGGTTAAAGTGAAGATTTAAGAGCTTGTGTGGATGAAGTTTCTATAGTGGCTACTTTGAAAGTCAAATGAAAACCTTTTCCTCTGGGTGTGCAGGAAGCAGCTGATCAATGATTCTCTCATCATTGATGTTCCTATCTCTCGCTCTTCCTCTCCCTTCCTCTCTGAAATCAATTATATATACAGTATACTAGAGGCCCGATGCACAAAAATTCGTGCAAGAGTAGGCCTTCCATCCCCGGGCTGCTGGCACCAGCTTCCCTCTGGCACCCAGGACCTGGGTGTCCCTTACATCCCCGGCTTTGTCTGGAAGGTCATCAGGAAGGACATCTGGTCTAATTAGCATATTATGCTTTTATTATTATAGATATATACATATATATATCAGACAAACAAAAAACCTTTTCCTCTGAAAAAGCTGTATGTGTGGTGGCTGACACCAGGCCTCTGGGACCAATTTGCCTGTGTTCAAACCACACATAGGTACCAGCTGTGTGGCCCCAGGCAAACTGCACTGCCTCTCTGTGCCTCAGCTTCATCTGGGAACTGAGAATCACATAATACCCACTTTATGATGGGAGAAGGGGCGGGTGAGTCATTCACGTGGAATGCAGAGAACAGGGCCCTGCCCGGGCTAAGCCCCCCATTAAGAATCCCCCATTTATCCTAATTGCTAACTTGGATTCTGATTGCTGGAACTTATCCCAAAGAAATAATTTAAAAAGACAAAAAGCAAAGATGTTCAAAATGGCATTACCTACAAAAGCAACAAGCTGGAAACAACCCGAAGACCAACTCTTTTTTTGTTTTAGTTTTTTTTTTTTAATCTGCACCTAAGGACATTTTTTCCATTGATTTTTTAGAGAAAGTGAGGTGGGGGGGTGAGGGGTGGGGAGAGAAACATCGATGTGAGAGAGACGCATCGATTGGTTGCCTCCCGCATATGCCCCGACCGAGGCTGGGGACTGAACCTGCAACCCAGGTACATGGCCTTGACCAGGAATTGAACCCGCAACCCTTGGGTGCATAGGCCGACGCTCCAACCACTGAACCACACTGGCCAGGGCCTCAAAACCAACCCTTGACAGAACCCGATACAGGCATTAAAGAACTGTGAAAATGACGCCGCCTTGGGAAAAACAGCACTAGCACCGAAACATCAAATAAAAAAGAAATAAAAGATGGTGCACAGAACTGCACGTGCCAGTGCCGACAACCAGGTAAAACCATACCTGCTGGCAGCCAGGTAGGGGAAGGCCATGGCCAACCGTGAGGGTCACAGGGCTGCGGGGTGTCCTCACATGTGACATGTTCCTTACGGGGAAAGTGAGAAAACGACCCTGCCGAGAACGTTGGGGCATCAGGGCTAACGGCTGGGTTGTCTTGGTTTAGCACAGAGGGGTTCTGTGCCCTGCCCTCCCCCAGGCACACCCAAGCCTGTGTTGGCCGAGGCTGAGGGGAGGGCCGGTGGGCCGGCCCCAGAGGGCTAGCCATGAAAAATGTATGAGCAGACCTGCCTGTGCTGCTCCTGCAGTTCCAGCACTTAGCTCCTCCAGGGCCCGGCCGGAAGGAGCCCTTTTAGAAGCTCACAGCCCAGGAGCACTCAGCGTGCTGCTCGGGCTCTCAGGGCCGGGGAGGGGGGGCGGGTGGTGGGGGTGTGGGGGGTGCGCGTTTCCCAGGGACTCTCAGCATCAGCACTCCCGGGTCCCTCCCCAGGCTGAGGCCCCAGCCTGCTTTGGGCTGGAAGTGAAGTGGCCCCAGAGGTTCCTTTAGGGGCTTGTTCTTGTCAAAGATGTCCTGACGCAACAGCCAAAAGTGGACGCAGCCTGGGGTCCATCGAGGGATGAATGGATGAACCAACCGTGGTCCACACGCAAGGAATATTACTCAGCCTTATAAAGGAAACTGACACACGCGACAACACGCTGGACCCCGAGGACATTATGCCGAGTCACAGAGAGACCAACACTGCACAGTTCCCTGTGTGGAGTCCCTAGAGCAGGCACATCCAGAGACTAACTAGGATGGGAGCAGCAGGGCTCAGGGGCAGGGGATAGGGTCAGTTTTCAACGGGGACAGACTCCGTTTGGGAAGATGGAAAAGTTCTGGAGGCAGATGCACAACCACGTGAATGTGTTCAATGCCACTGAGCTGTACACTTGGTTAAAGCGGTGACGTACGTTAGGTATGTTTTGCTACAATAAACACAGACACAAAAAGTGTATTCTGACCACCTACTCTGGGCCAGGCACTGGGAGACCCAGTGAAGTCTAAGGAAGAGGGTCCTGGACTCTTAGGTTTGGTCTCTGGACCCAACCTTTGGACCTGCATCCCCCATGGATCCTCACTCAGCAAGCACCGCCCCCAACTCCTGCCTGGGCTCAGCCTGGAGCCTCAGAGGGACCAGGCCCTGGCGGGACGTGGTTGTCTAGGACTCTCTAGCACCCCATGCCGATTTGCGAACAGCACCCTGATTTTCTCCAGGGGAAGCACTGCTCCCTACTTGCCCCCAGTCGGGGAGGCATTGTCCATCAAGTTGTCCCCCCCTCCCCCTCCCCCACTGAAGGACAGGCGGGAGCCCTGAGCTGGACCAACCAGAGGCTCTCCTGAGCTCACTCATCCCAGCTGAGGGACCTGAAGGATATGGCCCTTCGTCCTGGCCTGACCTTCCGTGCCTCCTGACTTCCTGTGGTGGAGGGAAGGAGCCAGGGTCGGCCCCAGGCATCCAGGAGGAGAGTCAGGACTGCTGAGCCTGCGGCATGTGGGTGAGGGGCCACCAGGGAGACTCCCAGGTTCCGGGCTGGGGAGACGTGGGGTGGGAGCATTTGTTATGCAGTAACGAATGGGCTTTGAGGGGCGGTCTCCGTGTGGGCCATACTGGTCTGGGTGGGTGCCCCTGGGTCCTTCAGACTCTGAACAGAAAGGTCTGGAGCACAGGACAGAGGTCTGGGCTGCCTCTGCCAACACCTACAACACTTCTCAGTGATTCTGTGTCCTTCTAGAACTTTCTCCCTGCTGGCTTTCCCCCCCTCCCAACTTGCCTTCCCCAGCCTCTGGCAGGCCGAACCTGTTATCTCGGTGATAACAGGCCAGCGGGTGGAGAGCAAATACCCCGTGCATGCCTGGCACCCACTTCTAGAGCCTCTTGCTCCCTTCCTCCCCACAGCCTGGAATTCATGCCTCTGAGAAGGAAACTGAGGCCCAGGGGGCGCTGCGACGTTCCCATGTCACTCAACTGCCAGTGAAAGGAAAGGCCTGGAGGAGCCCTCAAAGTCAGAGCAAGCACTTAAAGGTGCCTACTGTGTGCAGGTGCTGCTCAGTGGGAGGGTCTCCTCCCTCTCCATGGCTGCAACACTAGGGGCTCAGCTCTACCCTCCTACCCTGTCCTGCCCCATGCCACCCCCCCAACCCCAATGCCACATCCTCTTGCCCACATCAGAGCTGGTGAGGGAGAGCCGCCCACCTTACCTTTCAGACAGGACAGCTTAAGCCCCATGTCGACGCCTCCGCCTCCGCCTGCCTGTGGAGAAAGGAGAGGCTTGTTTGTATTGGTCACGTGTGCCCAGGCCCCCACCCCCAGCCCTGATGGGTGCACAACAGGAAGTAGTGGGGAGAGAAACCGAGGCCTCCGGGTCGCGGCGCCTGCTGACTACATCTGGGCTGAATTTGCTCAAAGCTGAGTCTGTGCTGGCGGAAAAAACTTTCAGGCGCCTCAGAGCTAAATATACTGGAGGCCGGCTGCGGTCTCCGTGAAGTTGACGGTGAGGGCATGGTTGGGGCTGACAATGCGGAACCCACATCACCTGGTCTTTCCTTTCAGGGGCCACAGATGCTGGCTGGCTTCATGGTAAGGGCCTCCTGATGGGAGGGCCCTCAGCCAGGCTGCGGGGGGGCCCGAAGCCCACCGTGACGGGCTTTCCCTTCTAAATGCAGAGTCTTTGGAAACGTAGCGGATGAAGCTGTCAGGGGTGTGAGCCTCCCGTCCATGAGCATGAAAACTGTCCCAACCAGAGTTGCCACGATCTTCCTGCAATGTGATGCCTCCTCACTGTTCTGAGTAATCGATGCATAGAGGCAGCCGCTGGCAGGGCTCTTGACCTTCAATCCTCTGCCACAACCCTGTGAGGTGCTACTTCTGCCCCCATTTTACAGATGTGGAAATCAAGGCTCAGAGAGTGGTGTCAGCTGCCCAAGGCCACCCAGCTTACGGAGGGTGGAGCTGGGGTTCTAACCCGAGATTGCCCTGATCCCCGGCCAGCCGGGGCCCACCCGACTGGGACCTTTGAGGCTCTGCAAGCCTTCCTGGGAAGGCGAGGCTCCTGTTTCCACTTTGGAGGACTCCTGGAGGCTTTGAGAGGTGATGGGGGGGACGGGGAAGGGGAGCTCACCCCTTCATCCATAGGGAGTCCCTGTGTGCCAGGCTGATGAGCGGAGAGGGGTAAAGGGTGGCCATGAGAAGTGCCCCTCAGAACTCTGACACAGATGTGTGGCCCAGCGAGGGCCCCAGCCCCTTGCTCTTAGATCCCTGGACTGCTCCTCCTGCCAGAAGCTGGGATCTGAGGCAGGTGTCCCTGACGGCAACTCGCTTTACCAACCACTCTTGGGTGATCTCCACCTTCCCACCCTCCCTCATTCCCTGGTGTCTGACCTCCCATCCCCATCCCCATTTCCTACACATTCCCCATCAAAGAGGGGCCCACACAGGTGCATGCAAGGCCCAATGAGGCACCACACCGGAATCTAGGTTGTTCAGAACAGCAGGGGAGACAGACACACAAACTAGACCTGACAGGCATGGTGAGCCCAGGGGAAGCAGAGTGAGGAGGGGGCCAGAGGAGGTTCCTGCCCCAGTCTGGAAGTCCTAAGGAACATGTCCCTAAAGGCAGGCAAGAGTGGGACAAGCCGGGAACAGCCTCTCAGGCCCCAGGAACAGAATGTGCAAAGGTCCAGAGGATAGGAAGGGCGTGGTCCATGGGAGGAACGAGAGGGTGGGAGGTCGGGGCAGGAATAAGATGAGCTGCACCCGGAGGGCTCTGGGGGCTGGTGACAGGGTTCGGGGGTTATTGTGAGGGCACCAAGCAGCGAGGCTGCGTTCTAGGAGTGTGTGTGGGCCAGGGGCCAGCTAGGAACACCAGGTCCTCCAGAACATTGCTTCATGGGTGGAGCTGCTGGGCCAGCAGCCTGGACACGGCTGGGAGCTTGTTAGCAATGCAGCATCGCAGGCCCACCCGGACACACTGAGCCAGAATCAGTATTTTGACAAGGCCCCCTCGGACCTGTGTGTTTGTGAAGGTCGGAGAAGCTCTGCTCTGGCCCAGAAATGTGGAGCCTGAACTTCAAAGCCAGCAGGGCAATGGGAGGGAGAAGCAGCTGGAAGTCCAGGTGACACGCAGGCTCGGGAGATGGTGGGACCCCCGAGGGGGCTGGTGTGGAGGAGGGGCTAGGATAGAGGCTTCCATTTCTGCCAGGTGGGATGTGTGGGGCAGGTACGGGGAAACAGGCACCAGGAGATGGAGTCAGGGAGGCTGAGAAAGAGGGGAGAGAGGGAGGGAGGAAGATTCTGCGAGGCCAGGGCAGAGAGACAGACAGAAAAGGAGGGGGAACGCCTCCGGACAGCCGTGTATGGAAGGAAGAGTTCCCTGCTTAGAAGCGGTAGCTCTTCTCGCCGGGACCAGAGCCTGGCTCAGCCTTATGACCACAGGCTGGTTCCTTAACATCCCAGACCTCACTTTTCTCATCTTTAAAATGGGGCCGATGCACTTGCAGCCTCAAGTAGCAGCGAGAACTAAACGTCAGGGGTGACGGCTGTAAAAGGGCTTCACCCTGTGTTGGGCATAGAGAAGTCCAAGAAGTGTCAGCGGCTATTGTTTAGGACAGTGATGGAGGGAAGGGAGGTAGCGGTCTCCGGCGGGGCCTTTTCTCCAGGGGCTCAGTCCTCAGAGTGTGGTCCCGGACCAGCAGTGTGGGCACTGCGGGGAGCCTGTGAGAAATGCAGGCTCCCAGGCCCCACCCCACACCCCTCCGAAGGCTCAGGAGATGCTCTACCAGACCCAGGGGAAGCTCATTACCACTGAAAGGCTAAGCGCCGCATCTTCCCGGCACAGTGGGATCACCTGGGCGCTTTTAAAAGCTACGGTGCCTGGGTCCCATCCCAGAGACCCAGAGTAATTGGCCTGAGGTGCGGCCGGGCACTGTAAAAGCTCTCCAAGGGCCCTAGCTGGTGTGGCTCAGTGGATAGAGTGTCAGCCGGAGGACTGGAGATTCAATTCCCATCAAAGGCCCGTGCCCAGGGGGCATGAAAGAGGCAGCCAATCAATGATTCTCTCTCATCATTGATGTTTTATCTCTCTCTCCCTCTCCCTTCTTCTCTGAAATAAATAAAAATCTATTTTAAAAAAAAGAAAAGAAAAGCTCTTGAAGGGATTCTAATGTGGAGGATGAGATGCTAAGGAAGCTCTCCTTCTCAGGGACAGAGGATGGGCTGGGGCTGGCGGAAGAGAGTGCCCCGGCCAGGCCTGCAAGGACGACGGGCACCTTTCTTGGGCATTCACTGTGTGCCCAGCCCTGACAGAGATTCATGGTCAATCAGTTCTCACAACAGCCCCGTGAGGTTGGGACCATTTTGATCACCTCTTTACAGATGGGGAAACTGAGGCACAGAGAGCTTAGTTAATGCGCACAAGGTCATGGGTAGCAAGTGGTGGGGCCAGGGTTCAAGTCCAGCACTTTGGACTCTAGAGCCCATACTTCCAAAGGCAGGGCTTTGGGGTGGGTGGTAGCACAGACCTGACCGCTCTCTCCCCAACCCTCCCCAGGCTGCGTCTCCCCCTCAGGGGTCCTGCAGCCAAGCTCAGATCATCCACAAATAAACCCAGGAACCCTGGTGGCCACCATAAGAAAGACTCTTAACATCACAGCCTTGTACACACGGTCTGCACAGCGCACTTTGATTTTATGGTCTGTTCTCTCTTTTTCTTTTTAAGTGTTGGTCACAGCCCACTCAAGAGATTTTCCATCACATCCCATCCCGAGGATTGAACAGTGGTTTAGGATGAAGTCCTCACAGATCAATCAATGTCAGGACTTCGCTGTAAAATACTCCAGAGAAGAGTGGCGCATGGCACAGGGCAGGCGTACGATGAGGGCAGGGGTGCTGTCTGCTGCTGACACTGGGAAATGGGGGTTCAGCACATACTTGTGGGTCTGAAAATAATAAAACAGTCAGAGGGAAGACAACTGTCTACCACGCACAGTACAGGACCGCTGTTCCGATCCCTGACTTCGATCTCTGTGCTGCGTTCTGTGAGGGGGTCCTTGCTTTTAGGAAACCCTGAAGTGTTTGGGGCCAGGGTCCTCATTTCTGCAACTTAACTTTCAAACGGTTCAGCCAGCAAATCATAACACGCACGAGTAGGTCCAGAGAGAGCCGATAACGCACACGTGGCTCATGCTTCTGTCCGGTGCTGGGCAGACAGGAGCACTCTGTGCTCTGGCATCTTTTCGGGAAACTTCAAAGTATTTCAGGAGAAGAAGTCAATACAGGAAAGAGAAGCAGACAGAGGCAGAGCAGTCAACAGGTCACATCTCCTCTGTGCCCAACACCGCTGCCTCCCAGCAGTGGCACACGGAGCGCGGCTGTGCGTAAGATCCCATTTTCCCGGAACCTCTCTGGCCCGGGAAGGCTCCCAGAAGAGTTGTCCTGGACTGACAGGTTTTGTCCCCAAGCTTGTGAC